TCTGTTCTCCATTTACCAGTGTTGCCAACTCTTGGATTTCAAAAAGCACCAAACCTTGGAAAAAAGAGCGTTTTACCGCACTAAAAGCACAAAATTTTTTTTTAATCAAAGGATACTTTCTTTTATAACAGTATGTGGTAAACAAAAGTAAAAAAAAATAAACAATATTTACATGTATAAATAAATACACATTCATGCTGACGAAGTAATACCCCTGTAGGGAAAACACGAACTAGTGAACCAAATTTCTAGTTCAGTACTAGTTCTTTTTCGCCAAAAACGAACCAGTCCGATAGTAACTAGTACCGCACCAGTCCAAAAGCAGTGAAATGTGGTACTTTCACTAAACTATTTTATTTCAAATTTTAAAAGCAGGGAAGGTAATCATTATGAGTAAAATAATTTAAATCAGCATTTGATCATTATTTTATGAATTATTATTGAAATAATTATTATTTGATTTTATTTTTGGGATTACAACTAATGATTATTTTATGATTTTTATTTTTTCGCGCAGAGATTATCTTTAATTTTGAGTTTTATTTTTCCACTTAAAAATAATGATAATTTATAAAATTGAAAAGGCCATACAGACGCAACCTACTGAAATTTTGACCTGAAAAGTTTGGGTCTTATTTCTGTTATAAGGGTGCGGCAACTTCTCAAAAGGTATAGTTTTTGAGTTGCTTAATAATCATTACTAGTATCGCCCCGTTGTCGAAATTCGACCACCTTACTTTTTTACACAATTTTTCATTTTGCTTGGGAAGTTTTTATGTTCTTCATCGCCTGTTGATCGTCAAGGTCTCTTATATTTTTTGGTGGAGTAATATACATTATGTTAAATAATTTTGAAATTCATAGCAGCAGTAAGGAGGAATAGATTTGTATGGGATTTCGTTAGCGTATTAATATATAGATAGTAGATGGTGAAACCAAAGCAGGCATTCATAGGCTTATACGGAAATTGGAAAAACTCGGCTCTGGGCCACATCTTGCGTTCATTTTTTGCAGGTGTATTTCTCTTGATGTTAGTAATATGTATTTTGAATTTGAAGCAAATCGGACCATAAATGAAGTTTTTCGGAATAACTCCACTCCTACTCCACCTACTGAAAAAATAAACAAAATGCGCACCTCCCCTTTGAAATACCTTTCGAACAAAAGAAGAATCATTCAAATTGGTTGAGAAACATAGGAGCAGTAGGGAGGAATAGATTTGTATGCGATTTCGTTAGCGTATTAATATATAGATACTTAGTGATTCGATAAAAAAATGCCAGGACCCTGAAGGACAATTGAGAAAGGCAATGCAGTTGCAGAAAAAGAGGCATTTAAAAAAAAGTGTCAAAAAATTACCACTTTCCTACTAAATTTATTTAAAAATGCAAGCCACCAGAGCTACCTTTTTTTTAAGAAGAGACAAATTAATTTTTTTTTTATGCAATCCAGCACAGCTACCTTAACACAGTCAGTCAATAAAGTTTAGGAACAACGAATTTTTTACGGGCAACTATTTTTTAATTATTAAAGCTTAAAAAGAACTGAATTTACTTAAAAATCAATATGCTTAAATTTAGACAAGTAAGACAAAGTGAACTAATATTTTTACTTATAAGCAGAACGCACTTTTGTTCTTACTTACTAAAGTTTAATATTACTACTACTACTCATGTGGTTTATAAATTTTTAATAAATGCGTTTAAATATTTGTGATGTTGTTGTCCTTCCTTCAACCGATCGTATTTAATATAAAAGGGAAATGTTTCGACAAACCTAATTAGATATATAGATCTAAGGTGACGAATTTATACAGGTTGGGAACTATAAAAAATGGATGCAGATCGAACTAGCTCTCATCTCTCGAATTAGGAACTGGTTTGGAACTAAAGAAAAGGGGATGCAGAACGAACTAGAACTCATCTGTCGAATTTGGAGCTGGTACGGAACTATAGAAAAAGGGATTCAAAACGAACTAGATCTTATCTGTCGAATTAAGAACTGGTTCGGAACCGGAGCCAAAGGGATGCAACGGGGGACAATTGACACTTCCTAGGACATCGCAATGTTAAATTCGCCAGCCGCTAGCATGCAAAAGAGAATTAACCCGTACTAGTCATGGTCCCAAACGCACTAGAACGGAACCAGTTCCGCTCTAGTTCATTTCCCTACAAGGACCGAAATACTGCACATTAAAACTAGTACATCTGGAGAAAGAACAATCGAATCGCAACAAACGAAATTGAATTTTGAAGGAGAAGAGTAACACTTAATGATACCCTAAGTAGATGTGAGCGAAAAAAATTGTTGTTTTATAATAAACCGTGTTTTTTCACTTAGAGGTTAGGATATCCCAAAATTCTGACGAAGTAGAGAAATTCTGCAGCCAGATTTGGATTCAGCACCGAAAAATCTAAAAACCGATAAACTCAGGTGGCAAAAAAAGTCAAAATTTTTCGGACTGTGTAATCAATCAATAATCAAGAAAATAAAAAAGTAAACACTTAACTTATCTGCGTGCTAGCATTTTCAACGCGAATACAATTTAACAAGAACGCAAGAACGTGGGTTTGAAACTTCATCTTTTTATCAATCATGGTTTGCATTTTAGTGCATTTAAATTTGTATATTCTAGTAAATTCAGAAATTTTAGTGCAGAAAAAAGCACTAAAAAGGGCACTAGGCATTATACCACTTGTCTTGGCGTTTTTATTTTCAAAAAGCACTAAATCTAGTGCTTAAAGCACTAAGTTGGCAACTATGGCGCGTATTCATAGTCCAGCAACTAAGTCGAAACTAACAAAGTTGCAACTTAAATTTAAGTACCAACTTAAAATTTACCTCTATTCATAGTCGCATTTCAGACTTCTACTAAGTAGTTTCGACTTAGTTTACGATATAGCAAAACGAGTGTGAAAATGTATCGATTTTTCTTTACGATATTTTGGAAAAATTACATTTTTATTAAATAATGTCAAGTTTGATCATCCGTTTATGTAATTTTTATTTTCATTGCATGATTATGCAAAAGAATAAGGTATCATTTTCTTGTTAATTGTGTGAAATAGCCAGAACAACCGCAGTGATGTGAAGTCGATGTTTATCGAAAGCATGCTGTGAAACATACAAATAGTAGATATCTAAATGTTATGCACAAATTTACTTTAAAAGAACTAGCGTGAAACTGACTTATTATTTGAGAATTTATCTAAATTATTCCAATTATAAATTGGTGATTTAGCTTTATTCGAATTGTAATACGCATTTAATTTCTTCTTCCGAATAAAATGGATCGATCTTTGTAAATTTTAATTGGAGATTATTCAATATTATCAAAATCACCCTCTACCAACTTAATTTTTACATATTTCGTCTGTTTTCCCTTAATTTGATAAAATACTTCTTCCTAGTTACGACTTAGTTGCAGCTGCAGCCGAAACTAAATTTTAAGTTGGTACTTAGCCAGAAAAGTCGAAACTAAGGCGACTATGAGGAGCTTTAGTTGTGACTTAGAATAGTTTCGACTTAGTTGAGTAGTAAATATGACTATGAATATGCGCCTTGCCTTTTACTCTCACTTGAGAGAGCAAAATTGTAGTTTGCAAGTTCCACAGGTTTTAGTCCGAAGTTCAAAGAACAGACTACAGGCCGGTCGACATAAAACTTTCGCGTTGGCTTTGGCGTTAGTTTGACAGAACGCACGTTAAAAGTATGCTTGCTACAATGAACGCTTGGCAGCGAATGCCTGGGCCATTAAATTAACATACGAACGACAGATAAATTAATATTTCATATCAATAATTGCATTCAAAACGATATTTCTTGCCCGCACTTGATTAAAAAGGAAAAATATTTCACATAATTTTATTCATTTGCAACAGCTGACGAGCGACGCACGCGAAACGTTGAGAGTTGGCCATCTTTTTGCTTTGTGTTGGCGTGAGCGTTGTCGAATTTTGGCTATGTGGACGGCTGCATTTGAATTCATGTATTCATAGTCAGCTGTTGAAGCGACGCCAACGCCAACGCAACGCCAAAGTTCTATGTAAACGGGCCTTAANTTCTATGTGGACGGGCCTTACCTGTAACTTCCGACTAGGAACAGTCGCTCAGTTACTCTCTCAAAAGTGTTCCCACTTACAGGTTTTATGTCAATAGGAACGACTTCCTGTAAGTTCTGACTAAATCCTGTAAACCGGACTGCTATTGGAACAGACTATAGCTTTGTTTCTCAACTGATAATTATCACAAATTATCACTAATTTCGGCTGGAAAGCGTTTCTTAACCCAAAAAACTAGCAGAAACTAGCAGCTCTCTCTCGATCTTACGCTTTTCTTTTGTGGCTCTCCTGCTAGTAAAATTTTTACTAGCAGAAACTAGCAGCTGTCAAAATGGATAAACAAAAATTCGCGTCAAATACTTTCAATAGTCAAATACACCGATCAGCTGATTACTTGCTGGTTTCTGCTAGTTTTGCGTTTCTTTACTTTTTCGTTATTTCGATCTCTGTGAGCGTAATTCTTTAATTTTCCTCATTCTTCTTCTTCCTGATAATTATCTGCTAGAAAAGAAAAGAAACAAAGCCTATATTATATTTTGGGCTTAAGGGGCATGATCGAACTACACAAAATCTGACAAGATGAAGCAAAAGAAAACGGGAATTTTCTGGCTGACATTTGTAATTTTGGCGCCTTATTATTTTCTTTGAAATGAACCAAAAGTAAACAAAGAATGCAATCAATTTTTTAGAGCATGTTTGTGCTAACAAATTTATTATTTTTTGTACGTGTTTTGCAACCAATTACCGCGCACTTCATTTTAATTACATTTGCACAAAAAATTTATTGAACATTTCTTAAAAATCTCTGAAATAAACCACTGACAAAATACTCACAAAGAAAGCAATGTAAAAAACAAAACTGAAACAGCAAACTTCAAAATTACGAACATCACACACTTTTTTCTAATTGGTTCATGAATAAGGGGTTTAAACTTTTTTTTATGAAATAGGGTATGAAACTACCTTCGATGAAAAAATGTATCCCTTTTGGTACCAAAATACGAAGCATGGCAACAGGGAATAACATATGGTACCAGAAAAAGTCAGCTGATAAATGCTACCCAAAGCGTGCAAACTGAAACCAAATAGTTAAGTGATCTAGAAAGCGTTCGTTGCAAATAATTTTTTTGAAGAAGACTCAATTATATTATAATTGATAATGACAATTTCTAAATCCTACTTTAATTAGTATGTCAGGTCATGGAAAATTTGAATTCAAACGTATAAAAAAAGACCAGCAAGGATTGTGATTCGACTCGAACCTTCTAATGCATCGAGGAAATATTTACCTTCCTAAAATATAAATACCATACCATTTACAGAAAATGTGGCATTTACGACGTTTATTTACACATTTCGCTGAAGAACTAAGCACACCCACCGATCTTATTGGTTGTCTACAACAAACACCTCAGATTATTCAGAATAGTTTTGGCGGGTCTATTGGCCTGGAAAGCTTATCTTGGCTGCACAATGTGTCGCCGTGTTTCCCACTTCGTGGTGACCAAATCCAAATAATACATGAGCCACAGCACTTTTACGAAACGCTTGTGCAACGAAGTGCGACGGCTCGAGAACGAATTGTTTTAGCTAGTCTTTACCTAGGCACTGGCCATCTGGAAAACACTTTTGTGCAAACATTACGCAGCAGTCTACAACAACAATCTTCGTTACGTGTAAATGTATTGTTAGATTTTACTCGAGGCACACGCGGTGACGTCAATTCGAAGACATTGCTGTTGCCGCTTGTGCGCGAATTTGGGGGACAGATGAGATTATCACTTTATCACACGCCAGACCTACGAGGTATGACAAAAAGATTGGCACCGCCACGATGGAATGAGTTGCTTGGATTACAACACATGAAAGTGTATCTCTTTGATGACGCAGTTCTCATTTCCGGAGCTAACCTTTCGAATGATTACTTTACTAACCGTCAGGACCGCTACATCCTCATTGAAGACAAACAAATAGCAGATTTTTATGCTCAGCTTGTCGCACGTGTTCAGGAATTTAGTCTAGCAGTTAACCAAAATGCACAAGAAGAACTGCACAGATATGGAAAAATTTTGCCCTACGAGGGTGCAAAAGAGGAATTTATTGAGCATGCAAAACAGCGCATTACTGATTTTATGCACGAAACTTTCGAACAACAGCAGAGAGTGGCTGAAAAGCATAAAGGTTTTTCAAGGTTTTCTTTAACTTATAATACCGATACAAATATTTGCTTACAGATGCTGATACGTGGATATTTCCGCTGGTCGAAATGGGCCAAATTGGCATTCACCATGATAGTCTTGTGACCAAGCAACTACTATCTACTTCAATAGAAGGCTCCCGAATGAAACTTGCTACTGGGTATTTTAATTTGACTCGGGAATACATGGACACTTTAGCTAAAAATTGCCTCGCGCAGTGCAGCATACTAATGGCGCATCCTAATGTAATATTTTTGTTTGTTCCAAATCATCGGGCCAACGGTGTAAATAAATAACACATTTTCTTTAAAGGCCAATGGTTTTCAAGGCGCTAGTGGTCCGGCTGGAAGTATACCTGCGGCATATACCTTGATTGCGAAGAAATTTTATGAAGATGTATTGCAGCTAAAACAAGATCACCGCATCAATTTCTTCGAATATGAGAAGCATGGATGGACCTACCATGCCAAAGGATTATGGTACAGAATTCTTAAAGCTTTAAAAAATAAAATAAAATTAATAATATGATAACTTATATTTAGGTACTACCTTCCTGGAACTTCTTCTCCAACCCTAACACTGATTGGTTCTTCAAACTTTGGCGAGCGTTCTGTGAATCGCGATCTTGAAACACAAGTGTGCCTAGTTACCAGCAACGACGGGCTCAGTAATAGGTTGCAGGGCGAAGTTGATCGACTCTTTAGTTCTTCTAGTACTGCCGAGAAGGAAATCCTTTCAAGACCAGTGCCTCGCTGGGTGCATGCGGTGGTTACAGTATTCCGGAATTTCTTTTAAGTCATCACAAAAAATAGAGAGCACAATTGAGGTCAATATCACACATTTCCCGCAAGAGTGTAATAATCCCAAAAATCAAAAACTCGACAAAACTGGCACCCATAGTAAAATACATATTTTGTTCTAGTGCGATACTGGTAATCGCTGCAGGTATGAAATGTTTGCACAACATAGAAAAAGAAATAGCGGTATTTTCTGCATACTTCGATACATTATTATTTTTTTTAACAGGCAGGTTCTGCAATTCACATCCGAGTGAATTTCAACCCCTGCCAATTTCAATTAAAAGCGAATTTCATTAAAATTCACTCGAAAGTGAATTGCAGAACCTGCTTATATGACACTCTTGCAGCAAATGTGCGATATATGTATGTACATATATATGTATATTTCGGAATGGAATATTAAGTATCCGAATTTAAAAAACAATATATACTTTCGAATTAAAAAAAAATTAAAATATTAATTAGTGCGCTATCAAATGATATTTACAATTTCAATTTTAAATATATAAAGCACTGTTAATTTTATAAATTTGAGGATGCAATTTGTCGGCAGTTACAAAAATATATGTAAATATGTATGTATGTATCGAACAACTGCTTCAAATGTTGCCTACTTTGTGCATCTTGCATAGACTTTAGTTAAAAATGGTTACAAATTGGGAAGGTGTTGACTCTATTAAACTGCATAGTTATTGAAATAAATTTATTTTACAAAACTTTCCTTGAGGATTAAAATACGGCTCCTTCCTTTGACTTTGTATATCCGTATGAGGCTTGTTATGTATACATTGTATGATGAAATCGCGCAAAAGACACTATTTCGATGGCTGAGTGGAAGATCGACCTATCTCGGCAGCCAGTTCCAAAACGCTCTATCTCAAAAAACTTTTCAAGAAGGCCCTATTTCAGATTTTAATTGAAAAACACCCTATCTCAAAATTCGGTTCAAAAGCGCCCTATCTCACTTCTAAATGTATTGAAAATATGCTGATATAGGGCGTTTTTAAATCGGCAGCTGAGATAGGGCGTTTTTGAAACGACTTCTGAAATAGGGCGTTCTTGAAAAGTTTTTTGAAATAGAGCGTTTTCGAACTGGCTGCCGAGATAGGTCGATCTTCCACTCAGCCATCGATNATGTTGCCTACTTTGTGCATCTTGCATAGACTTTAGTTAAAAATGGTTACAAATTGGGAAGGTGTTGACTCTATTAAACTGCATAGTTATTGAAATAAATTTATTTTACAAAACTTTCCTTGAGGATTAAAATACGGCTCCTTCCTTTGACTTTGTATATCCGTATGAGACTTGTTATGTATACATTGTATGATGAAATCGCGCAAAAGACACTATTTCTGATTAAATGCAATTATATTCAAACAATAACCGATTTTTTTTAAATTACATTCAACGTATTTGGATCGCTTATATTTCGATGTACATGCACCTGCGATAACTTATTTGATATTCGTCGGATTTCGATAAATTGCAATATTGTATCTACATTGTAATAGATGACAAATAGTACTAGAATCTCAAACATAGTTGTCGTTTTTCGAATATTTTCAACGCAATAACTAGTGAGATTGCTTAAATATATTTCTAGATAGTAAGGAGATTTACTTAAGCACGTAGGATATAGCTGCAGTTATAAGTTTCCTCCTAGGCGAATGTTATACCCCGGTTTACTATTAGTTCACATTTCGTTCACATAAATTTTTTCGATTTTTACAAATTGGGAGACGGCAGCTCTAGCAGCCGAAGAACAGAAATTGAAAAGAAATTAAAAGAAAACAGGTAGAAAGCCTAATCGCCGATTACGTGCAATGATCAACTGCATTTTCTCAGTTTTGTTTGCGTGGTTCGGTCGTACGTGAGCGGTTTGTCGGTTTATTTGCGGCAACGTTAAATATTACGCGCTCGAAATTATCAATTGAAAAGTGCAGAAAGGTACGACTATTTGTGTTCATCATAATTTAAATACAATGCACACTGTGTTGAATAGAAGTGTTCGTTTGAAAATATTCCTCCATCGTAATATAGTTAAAAAAAAAAAAATATGGAATTATTGAGGAGATTACGATAACCCGAGCGACAAATTTTGACTATGGCATTTTAAAGCTGGGCTCCTCCACTTTTCAAATATACCCACTTGTAGGTTCCGGGGCCTTCTAGTTTTAAAGATATTTAGTGTTAAAAGTTATGTTTTTGATTTTTTTAAATGTTAATATCTTATGAAGTACAAGATAATTCGTTTATGTTTCAGTTCATGTGATTAATTTACACGGTTTTTCATATTTTAAAGCCAAAAATACTAAAAAACTAAAAAATGCTAATTATTTAGAAAGTACAAGTTATTCCCTTTAATATAAATTTTTATATAAATTATAAGAAAGGAGAATTCTGCGTAGTAAGTTATAAACCCTAAGCGCGGCCGAAGGCCACGCATGCTGAAAGAAGATCTGCCCCTCTTCTCCGGCAATACTTAAAGGAGAATTCTGCGTAGTAAGAGTAATGCCTTGTTTATAATGGAAGAGGCAAATCGTAAAAAATCGCGTCGAATTCGTAAGGATCTACTGATTTTAGATTTTTCCGTTTTACTTTACGTTTACGTGCATTATAACCATTTGCATTAATTTCCCATACACTAGATAATTAAGTGACGGTTCACTCCGTTCCGTTACTTCCATTATAACCCAGGCATTATAATCCCTAGGCGCGGAAAAGGCCGCCTTCTGCGTAGTAAGGATTGTAATCGCTAAGCGCGGCATATGACAATTTAAAAAAAATCATGATTGTTTAAAATTTTTTGTAACTTTTTTTAGTTAAATTGAATTGTTGCTATAACTGTAAAAGATGTATATAACATTTTTATAACCTCGTCAAAAAAAAAAATATATATATACATACAGTGACGAACAAAAGTATTGGCACAGTGAATTTTTCGCCATATATACAAAGGTTTTTATTCTAATTTAATTTCGATAATTTTTTATAAAAATATAGTTCATTCTACACCAGAAAACGTAATAATAAAAACTGTATACTTTGTGCAAAACTCAGGAAAAATCATTAAATTTGCACACTAATTTGCAACTTTTTATTCAGATTTTCTAGAAAAATCCTAAGTATGCAGTTTTATAGCCCATTCAAATTTAGTGGAAGGTGTTGCTCATTTTCTCCATACAAAAAATAATTGTCGAGTTGCTTTGTATGGAAGAACTTGCGTGAAAAAAAATACCAAAAATCAATGCGATTTTCTAGCGACTTCAAACTTGCACTTTGTTATACTAAATTTGAATGGGCTATAAAACTGCATACTTAGAATTTTTCTTAAAAATCTGAATAAAAAGTTGCAAATTAGTGTGCAAATTTAATGAATTTTCCTGAGTTTTGCACAAAGTTTAGAGATTTTATTATTATGTTTTCTGGTGTAGAATGAACAATATTTTTATAAAAAATTATCGAAGATAAATTAGAATAAATAACTTTGCATATATTGCGCAAAATTCACTGTGCCAATACTTCTGTTCGGCACTGTATATTTACCTATATTTACCGTTATATCTACTTGCTTCAAAAACCTCTATCGACGTCGTTGTTCAAATTTTGTCGCTTCGGTTATGGTAATCGTCCCTAATTATTTTATTTTTGAATCATGACGCCGTAAATTAACCCAAATCGCGATTTGCATCAGTTAATCAATCCTAATAATATGATGTTAATCAATTCCCCATCTTAATAAATATTCTCGATCCCCTTTTGTGTGAAATATGTACTCCTAGAAGACGGGTCCGCTTCAATTCACATCGCGCGATTTTTTATTACAAATATTCAGCTGTGATACTTGTTATTAAAAATTTTGGGAAAATTTCGATATAGTGCGCGCTTCATCGAAAAGAAATTTTGAGAGCCCAAATATAAACCGGTTTTAAGTTTCTTTTGTTTTTAAATAAAATATGATCAAATAGACCACTACATACACATTCTAGTGTGGGAAATTCAGTTTGAATAGAAGGTGCCAATAACTAAATTTTTTTTCCATGAGTTTGGCGTTTATATTATACTCGTATATATCTATACTAAGTTGCAGAACTCTACGATGCATACTTCAAGAAATATGTTGTGTGTGAAAACTTCAATTTGTATGGGAGGTGCCACACCCCCTTGATATATCAAAATTATTTTTCTTCTGTTATTATCCTTGGAGAGTCTGTAGGCGATGTCTAAAATTTCAAAAATATTTTAACATAAAAAACGGAATTCAAAATATACAGTGTTGGAAAAAATAATAGAAACAACTTATTGAAAAATATTAAATCAGTTATATCAACACTAGTTATATATATTTTTTGAAATGGCGCACCCTGTACAAATATCAGTTAAAGGTTGTTCTTTTGCAAAACATTATATTCCGCTAGTTTGTATCCTTTTCACTTTATGTGCGAGAGAGTAAACAATTGAATTGTTGCGCTTGGAAAAAATAATAGAAACAAAACGTGTTTGTTAATATTGGTGCTTTACAAAAGGTAAATTAATTATTTTTGGCACTTCTAATTGCGTTTTTAAAGAATGTTAACTAAAGTAGAGTTATACTATAGGTTATTGAAACATAAAAAATAATAAAATGGGCCGAGCTAAACACTGCACGGAAGAGGAGAAGAATTTAATAATAAGTTTAAGAAAACAAGGAAATTCGATGAGTAAGATAGTAGATATGGTGGGCTGTTCCAAAACGAAGGTGTTCCCTGTCCTTCATAGCGTAAAAAACCAGAAACACGACGTACAAAGCGAAAAATGACTGCTAGCGATCAAAGGCGTTTAATTCGGCATTACAAAGTTAACCCTTTTCTGTCTTCAAGAAAGCTGAAAACAGAATTGAATGTCGATGTAACAAGCCGAGCCATGACGTACAGATTGGCAGAAGCCAAACTTTCAGCTAGAATCTCTAGAAAGGTACCGTTGCTGAGCCTTAAAAACAAAAACAACAGACTTGGTTTTGCCAGAAAACATCTTTTTCGTCAAAATGGTGAAAAATGTGCTGCAGTCTGATGAGACAAAGAGTAATATGTGTGGATCAGATGGAAAATAGTACGTAAAACGTCCTACGAACACAGCCTTTGATCCACAACACACGAAAAAAAACAACGGTTAAGCACAGCGGGAGTTCCATTATGGTATAGGCCTGCTTCCCGAAGGAAGAAGTTGGTCCAATACTTTGGATTAAGAACAAAATGTGAGCGCTTGACTATGTAAGCAAATTACAAATGATAAGGCTTTCCTATGCTAAAGAGGAAATGCCATTGCGGTGACATTTACTGCAGGATAATGATCCTAAACATGCATCAAAACTGGTAAAGTAGTGGTTAAAGAAGGAAACAGTGCAGGCTATGGAGTGGCCGCCACAATAGCCAGACCTCAACCCTATTGCGCACCTTTGGGCGGACTTAAAGAAGAGAATCGGGCCTTTTAAAGCCAGCAATAAAGACGAATTGTGGCGCCACATTCTAAAATCGTGGTATTCCATTCCGAAAAGTGTTGTGCAAACTTCGTCAATTCGCGGCACCGAATATGCGAAGAGGTAATCAGGCAAAGCGGCGATTCAATAAGCTATTAAAACAATAATATTTTTGTAAGAAGTTTTTGTTCAAAGCTTAGTTTATTTAGAAATAATACTTTGTTTCTATTATATCTTCCAGGCCAAAATTAAAAAA